CCCGGAACCCCCAAGCCCTGCGCTCCCCGCTCTGATCCCGCCGCGACCCCGGCCCGCCCCCGGCCCGCCCCCCGCCCGGCGGTGCCGCCGCTCCCGGAAGCCCCGGGGAGGCGGGGCGGGTCCGGGGCCACCGTGGGAACGGAGCCGAGCGGGGCCGGAAGGGCCATGGTGGGACCGGGGCACCGGGGGGCACGGGGGGGGCACTGGGGGAGGGTACGGGGGGCACGGGGGGTCCCTTTGGGGCGCCGGGATGTGTAGGGAGCTCCCGGGGGCGGTCCGTGTGGAAGCGCCCAGGGTATTCCTGGGTGTCTGTGGAGTGCCAAGGGGGTGCCCGTAGGGTATTTAGGGCGTCACTTTGGGGGCTCCACGCCCGTGGGGGGGTCACGGGTGCTTGAGGAAGTGTGCCCGGGGTGCCATGGGGTGCCCGTAGGTGCTTAGGGGGTTCCTCTGGGGTATCCAGGGTGTGTAGAGGGGGCTGGGTGCCAAGGGGGTGCCTRTGGGGTGCGGGGGATTGTCCAAGGAACCCAGAGAGTGTCTATGCCTGGGAAAGTGCCTATGAGGTGCTTGGAGTGGTCGTGGGGCACTTGTGGGGTGCTCTGAGGTTTATACGGGATGCCCAGGGTGCATATAAGTTGCCAAGGGGTGCACATAGTGTGCTGGCCTGCAGGGTGCTTGGGGACGTACACACTACTGGCCTGCAGGGTGTTTGGGCACATGGGGTGCTCAGAGGGTGCCTATGGGGTGCTGTAGGTGTTGCGGTGTTTGGGATGCCTGTAGGGGCTTGAGGAGGTGCTCAGGATGCCCATAGGGTGCTCAGCAGATGCTTTGGGGTGGGCATGGAATGCCTGTGGGTGACTCAGGGCACCTATGGGGTACTTCAGAGTGTGTATGGGGTATCCAGGACACACATGGGGTATCTGAGATACCTATGGGGTGTCATAAACGTGCCTGTAAGTTTCTTGGGGAGGTGCCCAGGGTGCACATAGGGTGCTTGGCAGGAGATTGGGGTGGGTGGTCCCTGTGTACCCCCTCCCTGCAGTGCCAATGCAGTGCACCTTTGGGGTGCCTTTAGGGTGTATATGGGGCATGGAGGGTGCTCAGGGCGTATATATGGGATGCCCATGGGATAGTGGGGTGCCCATGAGGAGCTTGGTGGGCATCTTTGAGGTGCCCGGGGTGTTTGTAGGGTGCCCAGGGTACATTGAGGGTGCTGAGGGTGCTCCAGTCTATGCCCGGGGTGTCTGTAGGGTGCTGTGGGGTGTTTATGAGGTGTGCTGGGGGTGCCCCCCTGACCCCTGGCCCGTGTTGCAGGCGGGGGTCCCGGGGGGGGTCCCGACAGATGTCGCGACAGATGCCACGACAGGCGACAGGCGCGTGCGGGCGCTGCAGCAGGAGGTGCAGGGGGTCACCACCATCATGACACAGAATGTGGAGCGGATCCTGGCGCGGGGGGAGAACCTGGAGCAGCTGCACAGCAAGAGCCAGGACCTGGAGGCCACTGTGAGGGGGCAGGAGGGTGGGCACGAGGGTGGGCATGGGATCCCCCTGGGTGGCCAAGGGATCCACACACTGGGCACGGGGTCACCACGGTAGGCATAGGGTCACAAAGGTGGGCAAAATGCTCCCTGAGGTGACACAAGGTCCCAAAGGTGGTGGCACGGGGTCTCTGAGGTGGCYCCAAAGCCCCCAAGGTGGTGAGGTGTCACTTGGTCCCCAGGGTGGGTGCTGGAACCCTGGGGTGAACACAAGATCCCCAGGGGAGAACTGGATCCCTAAGGGGACTGCAGGGTGCCCAGTGTATGGGACACTTGGGTGGTAGGGAGTGTCCCTAGGATGTCCTCAGGGGGCTCCAAGGTTGCAATTGGTGTTCCCAGAGTGGCAGCAGAGCGTTTCCAGGGTGGCAGGGGGGATCCCTGGGCAAAATTGTCTCCAGGGTGACTGGGTGAAGACAGTGCAGGGTGGCACTTGGGGTCCTAGGGTGATAGATGTGTTCCCAGCAGATCAGGGATGTCCTTTGCATGGGATTTGGGTTCTTCAGAGTGGCAGGGATGTCCCCAGGTGGCCAGTGTAGTCCCCAGTGTGGCAGCGGGCAGTCCCCAGGTTGTCAGGGATGTCCCTGGAGTGTCACTGGGATCCCCAGTCTGTCAGGGGTATTCCTGGGATCACAGCAGGTGGCTGTGGGGTGTCCCCAGGGTGGGAAGGCTGTCCCTGGGGTGGCAGTTGGGGTCCCGAGGGTGTCAGGGATGTCCCCATATCCCTGCACTGTCCCCACAGTCGGAGCATTTCCGCACGACATCTCAGAAGATGGCTCGGCGCTACTGGTGGAAGAACGTGAAGCTGCTCGTCATCCTCGGCCTGGTGGGAATCATTGTCCTCATCCTCATCATCCTCCTGGCCACTGGCACCATCCCCACCTAGAGCCACTGTCCCCACAGAGACACGGCCACCCCAGGGCCCAAATACAGATAGGGCAGAAGAACCAATGGGACTCGTCTGTGTGTGTGTGTGTGTGTGTGTGTGTGTGTGTGGTGGGGGGACATGGGGGGACATCATGAGGGACACAGTGGACACGGTGAGATGGGCATAGGAGCATGGAGGACACGGGGACATGGGAGGACACAGGGACAGGCATGGGGACACAGAGGAGACAGACATAGGGACACAGCGATATGCATGGAGACATGGGGGGACACAGTGGGGGACAGGCCCTGGAGATGTGGGGATACGTGTGGGGACACTCACATGGGGTCACAAGGGGACACACGTGTGGAGACACAGGCATGAGGGGATGAGSGGGGTGTGGGTGCCGTGCCAAGGCACCGGGGGCAGTGCCAGGCACCGAAGGACAAAGGACACTGGTGGCACTGCCACCCTTGGGGGCTGGGTAGAGGGTGGGGGGAGGGGACGGGCACAGGGACAGGGGTGGTCCCCAGACACCCAGACATGGCGGGGGCCCCCAGAGACCTGGACCTGGGGGTCCTGGGGTGTCCCCATCTCTGCAGGGATTTGGGGATATTGAGGTGTGGAGCTGGGGGGACCYATTTGTGGGGGACAGGGCAGTACCAAGGCACTTGTGTCTGGGGAGCCTGGGGACATGGGGTCTCCCCCCAGTATCTGAGGAGTTATAGGGACAGGGGAGTCTCYGGGGGTCCCACATCTGGGGGAGTCTTGGGGACATGGAGGGCCCCGAGAAATTGTAGGGACAGGGGAACCCCACATCTGGGTCTGTTGGGGACATGGGGGTCGCGGGGGACCCGGCAGCTAGGGAGGGTTGAGTGGGGGGTGCTGTGGATCCCCATGGCGGAGCGTGCGGGCCGGGGTGTCCCGGAACTGCGGACACTCGGGGCCGGGAGAGGGGCGGTCCCGGTCCCGGTCCCTCCTGCCGGGGACGGCCGCTGGGGCCCGAGGTGGGACGGGTACTGAACGGGCGCACTGGTACCGACCCCGACCCGCGTTACCGGGACCATGGTGAGTCCCGGGCTGCCGCTGCCGCCACTTTCGCTTTCGCTTTCCGAAGGGGCAGACCGGACCGGGATCGGAGACACTGGACCCGCCGGACCGGTCCCGAYCCGCCCCTGCCCCGGGCTCTCCCTACCGAAGGGAGGGACGAGGCCCCCGGRGGGTGGGAGGTGGCCCGCGCGGGACTCTCCGTGTCCTTGTGTCCCYGCGTGTCCCTGCTCCGCATGTCGTGCCTGTCCCACTCCGTACCCCGCGGTCCCGGTGTCCCCGTCTGTGTCCTGACTCTGCAGTGCTCGTGTCCCCTCCGGTTCCCCTCCTCGGGTGGCCTTGTGCCCACATCCCCACGGTTTCCTCTTCCCGTGGTCCCTGTGTACCCCCTCCCTGCAGTGCCAATGTCTCTGTGATGCCTTTGTCCCCATGGTCAGGCTTTGTGCCTAGGGTGATMGTTTCCCCATCGTCTCCGTGTCTCCACAGTCCCTCTGATCCTCGTGTCCCCTGATCCCCATGTCTCCCTGGTCCCCACATGGCCCATTCACACCGTTCCATGGTTCTTGTGTTCCCCCAGTTCCTCACAGTGCTTATATCCCAGGTGACCCCCTCGTATTCACATGGCATCTCCTCATGGGCCCCAGAGTCCTGTTATCCCCATGGACCCTGAGTCCCCACAGTCCCTRTGTCCCCATGGTCCCTGTAGTTCCCCTTCCTGATGGTGCCCATGTTCTCGGTGTCCCTGCCCRTCCTTACAGCACCTTTGTGTCCCCGATATCCCTGTGTCCCTGTGTCCCCCGCAGTCCCCACGGTCTTGATATCCCTATATCCCTTTATCCTCACAGTCCTTATGTCCCCACAGTCCCCCTTCACTATAGTGCCCACATCCCCAGTGTCCCACAGCACGTCCCGCATGTCCCCAGTGTCCTCACACTGTCCCCCCATGTCCCCAGGAGGGGCTGGCACGGTGCCAGCACGAGGCTGAAGAGGTGGCGGAGCTGATGCGACAGAACATGGCACGGGCACTGGAGCGGGAGGGGCGCTTGGAGCAGCTGCAGAGCCGGGCCCAGGACCTGCGACAAGCGGTGGGACATCGGGGACAGGCTGGGACACATGGCAGTGGCGTGGCCCTATAGGGGACACCTGGAGCAGCTGCAGAGCTAGGCCAGGGGACACACATGGCCCAGGGGTGGGGTGTGGCACAACAGGGACACCTGGACCGGGCCAGGAGCTGTGACACTGTGGGACCATGGGGACACTTGGTGGGACCATGGGGGCCAGATTTATAAGGACATGTAAATCTGGGGACACACAGAGCCCAGGGGACACTGTAGAGGCATAAAGGCTCAGAGAGCACCTGTTGTAGAAACATGTAGCCTGGGGAGGGACAGGATAGGGACACGTAGACACACGAGACACATACAGAGCCCTGGGGACAGTGTGGGGACATCAGTCCCSGGGGGACTTACTCTAGGGACATGGAGCCTTGCAAAGGGAGCATACAGAGCCCCAGGAGGGACAATCGGGACATATAGCCCTGGGGTGACTTAGACTCCTGGGGAACACCATGGRGACATACAGCCTGGGCAGGGGACACTCTAGGGCCATAGAAGGGCTGGGGGGATATAGATGTCTGTTCCTGTAGGTCCCCACAACCCCTCTGTAGCCTCCAGGGGGGACTGTCCCCTGTACTCCCCCATGTCCCCACAGAGCGAAGCCTTCACACGCACCACACAGACAGTGACACGGCGCCAGCGCAGGGGACGGCGGCGGTGGCAGCTGGTGGCCCTCAGCCTCGGCCTCCTSATCCTCTTCATCCTGGGTCTGGCACTGGCMCTGGCCCTGGCACGGTCATCCCCTGGGACTGCCACCAGCACTGTGCCCACCCCACGGGCAGGGACCAAGCACCCCCCTGACACTGCGGGGACCCTGCTTGGACACTCTGATGACAGAGCACCGCGAGGACCCCTGGGAGGGCCCTASAAGAAATAAACACCAGCAGTTGTTTGGGAAGACCCTACAATAACAAACCAGTGGGGCGATCTTGAAGGAGACCCTACAATAACATTAAAAAACGAGTGGGGCAATCTTGAAGGAGAGCCCACAATAACACTAACAAACCAGTGGGGTGATCTTGAAGGAGACCCTTCAACAACAATAACAAACCAGTGAGATGATCTTCAAGGAGACCCTACAATAACAATAACAAAACCAGTGGGGCAATCTTCAAGGAGACCCTACAATAAAATAAGCATGAAGACCTGCTTTGGGGAGACCCTACAATAACAAATCTGCAGGATGAGCTCTGGGAAGACTCTACAATGAATTAACCCCCAGATCTGCTTCAGAGAGACCCAACAATAACAAACCAGCAAGACTCCCTCAAGGGAAACACTACAGTAAATAAGCACCAGGATTTGTTTGGGAAGACCCTACAACCACAAACCAGGAAGATGAGCTTCAAGGAAACCCTATAATAAATAAACACCAGGATCTGTTTTGGGGAGAGCCTACAATAAATAAGGTTCCAGAATCTGATTTGGAGATACCCACTGATAACAAATCAGCAGGATGAAATGAATGCTTGAGAAGACCCTACAGTAAATAAACACCAAGGTATGTTTGGGAAGACCCCACAATAACAAACAAGTTGGATCTACTTCAGGGAGACCCTATAATAAATAAACCAGGATCTGTTTTGGGGAGATCCTACAACAACAAATGTGCCAGAGCCCCTTTGGAGAGCCCCTACAATAACAGAAAAGCAGAACCCACTCAAGAGAGACCCTATTACGAACATCAAGAGCTCCTTGGGGAGACCTTACAATGGCAAACTGGCAGGGCCCACTCTTGGGAGACCCTACAATAAACCAGCACCAGCACATGCTTTGGGACGACCCTACAATAACAGAGCAGTGGTATCAGCTTGGGGCTTATCCTACAATCCCAAACCAATGGGATGACTTTCAGGAAGATCCTACAATAACAAATGCGCCAGAGCCTCCAGGGAGAGCCTGTGATTAATAAACATCAGAATCTGCCTCAGGGAGATCCTACAATAACAAACCTCGATGATCCCCAGGAACACCCTACAATAACAAACACGCTGGATCTCCTCTGGGGAAACCTTATGAGAAATAAACATAACTTTGGTTTGGAGAGACCCTACAGAAACAAACCAGCAGCATCTGCTCCAGGGAGAGACCCTATGACAAATATGCTGGAGCCTCTCTGAGGAGACCCTAAAATAAATAAACATCAGAATCTGTTTGGGATAGACCATACAATAACAACCACCCTGTACCTCGGTGCTGAGAGATCCTACAAAAACAGAGCAATGGGGAGATTTTCAGTGAGACCCTACAATAACACCCCTGCTTTGCTCCCAGGAGGCCCTAAAATAACAAAAGGCCCTGATTCAGGGACCCCCACCACAATAACTCCCACAATCCACGCTGGGGAGACCCTACAGTAACACACTCACGGGACTCACCCTGGGGACACCCTGAGCCCACCTGGCCTGGGCCACAGAGCATAAGGAGGTGGGGGACCCAGAGGGGACCCGGGGGACACAATGGTACCCAGGGTGGGGATGAGGACTCGGGGATCCTCAGGGACATGGTGACACCTGGGAGGGACCAGGGAGATCTGGCACCCAGTGTCACCTATGTGGGGCCAGCCTGGCAGGAGCCACTGAAGGGGACAAGTGGCGACATGACACAGGGACTCAGGAGACACATCACCTCCCYGCCCCTTGTGCCTCAGTTTCCCCAAGCAGCGACAGACACCGGAGCCTCGCAGCACCTTTATTGACACCGGGGGAGGGGTAGCACCAGTCCCCGGGGTGGCATCGGTCCCGTGGGAATGGCAGTGTCCGGGGGGATGTGGCAGAGTCACCCGGTGCCCCGGCGCTTGCTGAGCTCGTCCTGCACGCGCTGGCACAGGGCCCTGCGCAGGGGGGGCTCCAGAGGGCTCCGTGCACACACCCGGCGTGTCACCTCCTCGGCGCTGTCCCCCTGCGGCACCCACGGCACCCGCTGGGCTCCCAC